AGTTTGAAATATCAAAGGACTACTACGTTGTAAAGATATAAAGATTAGAAAATCTGAGTGTGTGGCAAAAATTCAGTTCATTTAGCACAGACGATAAATCTAGTAGCTTGATTTAGTATAGCTATATTTAATATTTATTTTTAAATGAGTGTATCTAATATATATAATATGCAAAATAGGTGTCAGATAGATGATTACTAAAAATAAGGAAAACTAACTCCATATTTCCGATAGTGTGTGGCCTGTCCGGTAGATAGGCCTGTCATGCCTGCCTGTTCAGGCCTTAGCCTAGTCCTGTCCAGCCTGCCTCTTCAGGCCTGGTCTATAGTCATGTCCTGCCCGCCTGCACAGATAGCCCACCAGAGGCCTATCACTACAGACTCTACGCAAATATATTGGATAAACCTCGGTCTTTTATAATTTTCTGGACTATATCTCATATCTCATAGATATCTTTTTAATACAGTTGTTAAAATAACTAAGGATACAGCTAGGGTTTACAGGTTCAATTGAGAGAAAGAAGAATAACTGTTTACAGGGTGAAAAGAGAAGGAGAAGTAAGGTTTACAGAGTAAAAAGAGAAGAAGGAGAACTAGCGTTTACAGAGTGAATAGAGAAGAATAAGAACTAGTGTTTACAGGGTGAATAGAGAAGAATAAGAACTAGGGTTTAAAAGGTGAAAACAGAAGAAGGAGAACTAGGGGTTACAGGGTGAATAGAGAAGAATGAGAACTAGGGTTTACAGGGTGAAAAGAGAAGAAGGAGAACTAGGGTTTACAGGTTGAAAAGAGAAGAAGGAGAACTAGGGTTTACAGGGTGAAAAGAGAAGAAGGAGATTAGGGTTTACGGGATGAAAAGAGAAGAAGGAGAGCTAGGGTTTAAAGGGTGAAAAGTGAAGAAGGAGAACTAGGGTCTACAGGGTGAACAGAGAAGAAGGAGAATTAGGGTTTACAGGATGAACAGAGAAGAAGGAGAACAAGGGTTTACATGGTGAACAGAGAAGAAGGAGAACTAAGGTTTGCAGGGTGAAAAGAGAAGAAGGAGAACTAGGGTTTACAGGGTGAAAAGAGAAGGAGAAATAGGGGTTTACAGGGTGAAAAGAGAAGAAGGAGAACTAAGGTTTACAGGGTGAAAAGAGAATAAGGAGAACTAGGGTTTACAGGGTGAAAAGAGAGGAAGGAGAACTAAAGTTTACAGAGTGAAAAGAGAAGAAGAAGAGCTAGGGTTTACAGAGTGAAAAGAGAAGAATGAGAACTAGGGTTTACAGGGTGAAAAGAGAAGAAGGAGAAGTAAGGTTTACAGGGTGAAAAGAGAAGAAGGAGAACTAGGGTTTACATGGTGAACAGAGAAGAAGAACTGGGGTCTACAGGGTGAAGAGAGAAGAAGGAGAACTAGGGTCTACAGGGTGAATAGAGAAGAAGGCGAACTAGGGTTTACAGGTTGAGCAGAGGAGAAGGAGAACTAGGGTTTACAGGGTGAAAAGAAAAGAAGGAGAACTAGGGTTTACAGGGTGAAAAGAGAAGAAGGAGAAATAGGGGTTTACAGGGTGAAAAGAGAAGAAGGCGAACTAGGGTTTACAGGATGAACAGAGAAGCAGGAGAACTAGGGTTTATATGGTGAACAGAGAAGAAGGAGAACTAGGGTTTACAGGGTTAAAAGAGAAGAAAGAGAACTAGGGTTTACAGAGTGAAAAGAGAAGAAGGAGAATTAGGGTTTACAGGATGAAAAGAGAATGTGCTTTAGACATCCAAGGGCTAAAAGGTCTATTTTTCTGGAAGAAAATAGAAATTGAATTAATCGGTTCAAAACAAATGGATTTCTCAACCTATGAGTCCTACTCATTCTCCGCGAGGCTGAGACCTGTATTACTATTTAACCTCTGTTTATCTCTAGTAATAAAATGAGGTTTAAATCAAAAGAAAGATTTGTTGGCTTTTTCCAAATTTCCTGGAGAGCAATTACAGATGGATTTAATTTCCTCAAGGTTGAGGCTAAAAATGTTTGAAACTCATAAAACTGTCCTGGGAGAGATTGGATATTTAAGGACAAAATACTAAATTGCTCTGTTGAAATACTTTTTTTTTTGTTAATCTTATCACTATCATAGAATTGACAATTATGAATATTATTTTTATAATATGAATATTTTCATAATATGAATATTATTTTCATAAACCGAATCTTTAAAATTGTATTTAAAATCGAATGTTTGATAATTTTTCTGTCCATGGTTATGTGAGATTATTATCCTGGTTCATTTAGAAGCGTGAGATTTTTAGAAAATGCTTCACCCTTTTGACTCCCCACCCTTCTCAGGGTGAACAGAGAAGAAGGAGAACTAGGGTTTACAGGGTGAAAAGAGGAGAAGAAGAACTAGGGTCTACAGGGTGAAAAGAGGAGAAGGAGACCTAGCGTTTACAGGGTGAAAAGAGAAGAAGGAGAACTAGGGTTTACAGGGTGAAAAGAGGAGAAGGAGAACTAGGGGTTACAGGGTGAAAAGAGGAGAAGGAGAACTAGGGGTTACAGGGTGAATAGAGAAGAATGAGAACTAGGGTTTACAGGTTGAAAAGAGAAGAAGGAGAACTAGGGTTTACAGGGTGAATAGAGAAGAAGGAGAACTAGGGTTTACAGAGTGAAAAGAAAAGATGGAGTTTACAGGGTGGAAAAAAGAGTAGAAGATTCGGTTTACAGGACGAACAGAAAAAAAGAACTAGGGTTTACCGGTTGAAAAGAGAAGAATGAGAACTAGGGTTTACAGGGTGAAAAGAGAAGAAGGAGAACTAGGGTTTACAGGGTGAAAAGAGGAGAAGGAGAACTAGGGGTTACAGGGTGAATAGAGAAGAAGGAGAACTAGGGTTTACAGAGTGAAAAGAAAAGAAGGAGTTTACAGGGTGGAAAAAAGAGTAGAAGATTCGGTTTACAGGACGAACAGAGAAAAAGAACTAGGGTTTACCGGTTGAAAAGAGAAGAATGAGAACTAGGGTTTACTGGATGAAAAGAGAAGGGTTTACTGGATGAAAAGAGAAGAAGGCTAGAAGAGAAAAACTAGGGAATGCCACGCATAATTCCGCGCAATTCCGATTGTAAACTCTGCTTGTACCAAAAAGTTCTAAGGGGACAGTATTCTCAAAGATCCAGGGGGGGGGTTGTAATTATTTCCAATGGAGAACTAGGGTTTACAGGG